TAGGATGCTAAAAATTTACGTTAATAAAGACAGTCCTCAGGTTTGAAATAAGGTTTTATCCCCAAACTTCAAGTTGGAACTTGAAATGCATTTTCTAACATGTGCACAGAAGTCACTTGATGATAATGGAAATTTCTAAAGATATTTTCCCTATATGTCAAATGCTTATCAGATGCTAAAAATTTATGTTAATAAAGGCAGTCCTCAGGTTTGAAATAAGGTTTTACCCCCAAACTTCAAGTTGGAACTTGAAATGCATTTTCCCTTAGAAATAACTTTAACATGTAGTTAGGCTCCCAGAATAGCCCACAAAAGCTCATCTGATCCGTAATATTGTTGCAGAAGCCAATTTTGAATGGCGAATGTTTATCAGTACCCACTATCCCTGAGGAAACTAAGCTATCACCTGACTCTCCCTAGGCAGTATTCAACTGTTCCTTCCCTTCCCAGCATTTTCTTCATATTATTCGTCTACGTAATATGGAGATTCAGTTCTCACTAATATGATCTGTTCTAAAATGAGCTAACTTCAGAAAGTGAAAAGTACCACCATACTGTAAGTAAGGTAAGCGTTACCTAAGAGACATCCCTCTCCCCAGTACTGAAGATGCTGGGAACGTTATCTTCCAGCATTCTACCCAGAATCCCATTTTCACAACATTTATCACCACATATTCCCATTTTGAATCACCCGCCCATACTACTGTATCCCTAATGCCATAGTTTCTGATAAAATTATCAATGAACAATTTAATGAGTGAACAAACTGTTAATGAGTGAATCACTTTACACGTGCCCACACTACTTATTTGAATATCTCTGAAAGCAAGTTATTTTCTAGTGCCTTGCCATGATAAGCTTTAGTATAGCTTTCTGTAATTTGAACCCATTAAGGTAGATGTGGTTTTTGCCTGTCAACACAAGTTAAGTGCTCCAAATTGTATTTGCTGGTCTGTTGAATCTGTAACTGGAATTATTATAGATGGTTGAACTTTTGGAATCTTATTTCTAATACAACTAATTTTAGTTCTCATCCTCTTTAGTAGGTTCATCATTTTACCGTTTGAAACCCCTTATAAATGTAGATGTAAGTTTTACATGATAGGCTTAGTTTTCTTGATCTGGCCACATTTTTCTTCACATCACTTTTCAGAAAGTTCTTTGATTAATCAGAGATATTTCAAGTAGACTAACAGTACTAGGTGACATGGATATGTGATATTCCAACTCTTAAATAGTATGAACTATGGGTAATCTAAAATAGTCATAGAGAAGGAACAAAATGGAAAACACTGCCTTGGCTCCAGTGGGTATTAGTGCTAACATTTTGGGAGGAAGCTTACTAATAGCTTACTTACTCTTTTCCAATGGAAAGGCTTGTTCTTTGGTATTTAACAGATCCTAATGTGCTCATTATCAGTGGCTATTGCTGGGAAGCAGGAGTTGGTGGGGGGCAGGGAGAAGGACTTTTACTTATCCTTTTATACCTTTGTTTGTTCTACTTGGTTTTTTGTTTGTTTTTTGCCACACACAAATTACTTGCACAAATTAAAAAAGAAAAATTGTTCAGCATCTCCAGATTGCCCAACACTATAGTAAAAGAAAAAAAAAAATTTAAGACTTAGTCCTCTTCTTTCAGAAAACAATCCATACCACCACTCACACACTTGCTATTGAAAATCTCCTAGAAGCCCAATGGCTTATCTTCCTAAGAGGACACATTACTGAGACTTGTGTTACACACTGAACTATCCATTACTAGTGCTTGGGAGATTAAAGAGGTAGGTAAATGGAACAATTAAAAGTCCTATTTATTTAGGAAGTGCTGTGTACCAGAATAGGCACTCAATATTTTTTCTAATACTTTAAAGACCTAGATGGCAATACAGGGATAGTGAATGGTCAGAGAAATTATGATAACTTATTTTTTATTTGTCCATCATGGTATTACAGTTTGTGCTGTTTCCATGAAAAATTATATTTGTGGGTAACATAAGAAAATAAAAGATTGCCAGTGTACAGTTCAATGTGTTTTCTTCATATAGGATACTCAATAACCCACCTGAAAACATGGAAGAAACCAGCTCTAAGTTTCCTGTTTTTATCAAATACGCTTCTCGCC